ACACTCATTACATTCTGGATCCAAACTAAGAACGAAATTCCACAATGGTGCTAAAGGACATTAATGAATTCCAAATTAATCAGTGAATGTGTATCAAAAATTTTTCATTGCGTTAAAGGAAAGAATTAATTTTTTCAAAGAATGATGTCATTAATATGAACTTTCTAGTACTCATTGAGAACTGTTTACTATACCCAGCCAAAGAAACTATACTGTAGATTAAGCTTGTGTACCCGGCAATGATGTAGAATTAAGCGAGAGGAGGCTTAAACAAGGCAATCGGTTTTATGATAACTTGGAAGACGAGCAGTAATAGGGCTCTGCGAAGGCATAATTAAGTGAAGCGGCTTCGTTTCTTCGTCGTAGTTTCTTCGTCGTAGTTTCTTCTTCCTTAGAACAATGGTAGCTGAAGTACTTTGACTTGGGCATTGACGTTGTTTGCGTGCATTCTTCTCTACGTGAAGATCAAATAGATTTATCAATAATGCTGATGCTGATGCAGATACAAGGGGGGAAATAGGCGGAGTAGGTATAAGGAGCATGTCTTAGAGGCTGCACTCCAATGGCATCTAGGAAAAAGGCTGACTGCTGACAATACTATTTTGTAGCGATGCTGGGCTCTCGGTTGGAATGATAAGCGTCAGGATCTTCCGCGGATCGTTCATGTGGCAATACGCCAATAATTAAGCCATCGCAGGGTAAAACCAGCTGACCTGGATAAGTATTTTTATTTTGGATTTCAATCTACTACCTTCTGTCAAGTGGATTCCAGATTCTGCTTCTTGCCAAAATGTTGACTTGTATTATTGTGAGAGATCGCAGTCTGCTAGGCCCTATGTTTGACTCTGTACGGTATGCGAGAGCGGAATGAGTCAAGATGAGATGTGTTCACAAGTATTCTGAAATATTGGGTGATGGCTGCAAATTTTTGACGAAACTAATTATTCTAAGGGCGAACAGAATTATCACTATAATTTCAAAGTTAACTATTTGATAGATTTATCACAAGGATCGATCATTGTATTGCATTTTTACTATATGCAGCTTGTAGTTCAGTTGCATTCGAATTGATTTTGTATCCATCAAAATGGTGTCCTGCTACCTCCAATCTTTTTGTGCCCATGTTTCTGCAAGGTCGCTGTTATTCTTTAATTGTCTTTTTTTCGCTTTTTCCAATGCACCATTCCAGATGATAAAGTAAAAACCAGAGTGACTAATTTTGTCCATTTGTCACCTTTTTGTGAAAACTAATATCTATTCTTTCAGGGTTTATGAAAATTCCATTTTATTAGCAGCTTCCGGGTCAGTTTGCGGCGGTAGGTATATTTTTTTTGCGCATCTACCTCCATATTGTCTCTACAGTTGCTATCTTGCCAGGTTTGAGATAATCCATTTATCTTTTAGCGGGTAATACCTTAGAGCTGCATGCTCATAATTCCCCTTATATTGATTTTTCTAAGTCAGTCAAGTACTCATTCTATTTTCTTTTTCTTCTTCCTCCCTACATTCCATATATCTTAATGATGGGCTTATGGTCATACGCCTGAATAAACAGATCCTCAGACTTTAATTGCATAAACCGAAGATATGAAGACCAAGATCGTGTGGCATTTTGTGTGGTCGTAGTCTCCTTTCTTTGTATAGCAGCTGTGTTTCCTTCTTTTCGCAACTTGGTAATATTGGTAGGAATACTTAGAGGAACGTACTTTCTCTAGAGTACATTTAAGGTACATTAAAGCATATCAGCGACCTTGCAGAAACATGGGCACAAAAAGATTGAAGGTAGCAGGCCACCATTCTGATGGGTACAAACTCAATTGGAATGCAACTGAACTATAAGCTGAATATAGCAAATACAATGATCCATCCTTGTGATAAATCTATCAAATATTTAACTTTGAAATTACTCTTGTATGCATGATCATTTCAAAATTCGGACGGTGAACGTGGTACATTCCCGGACGTTTTGCCGGCATCGTCAGTGAGTCTTGCCATTCTTAACACCACACCACAACTCTCAAAGAGACAATTGAAGCTGATATTTTGACTAAATGTGAGCTAAACAGTTTTGGTATCTCTCCTTCAGTCCTAGGCTATTCACCTCTCCTATATCCTCGTGTCACGCCCTCACTATCACACTTTTTCCCTCGATTATTTAATGCAGTGTAGTGTGCCCTTTTGAGCGGCTTTCATTATAATCCTCCACACTCCACACTGGCGTTCTCAACCCCATTCACCCTTGTGCTGGGAATATTGATCAGAGTCTTTTACATTTTTACGCGGTCCTCCTTCCCTTGGACTTATCAGAGTCTCCCTCTTGCCCCGTATGATCCGTCTGCTATCTCCCTTGTTCAAGTATTTCACTCGACCCCTACCACCTCATCTATGCTACTTGATGCGTTATTACCCATCCCCTGTATCTCAGTGACTAATTCGAGGCTAAAGCCTCTGAGTAAGTCTCATAGTCAAGCCTTTGCTACATGGACCACGTCTATGGTCAAACAGGCCTATAGTCAGCCAAGTGGCTCCAGTCCCCGTCGCGTCTATCCGGTTTCTATCCCTAATACCAACTCAATGACTTTCTATGCCCTAATATTTTATGTGCCAACTCACAAACCTTTTAGTTCAACATTGAACCTAATCAAAGTTAGCAGTATCACAGACACAAGGGATGGGTAATAACGCCTCTAGTAGCACAGATGAGGTGGTGAGGGTCGAGTGAAATACATGAACAAGGGAGATAGCAGACGGATCCTAAGGGGTAAGAGGGAGACTGATAAGTCCTAGGGAAGGAGGACCGCGTAACAATATGGCAGACTGATCAACATTCCCAGCACAAGGCTGAAGGGGGTTGAGAACGCCAGTGTCAAGTGTGGAGAGTTCTCATGAAAGCCCCTCAAAAGAGCACTCCACACTACATTCAAATAATCAAGGGAAAAATTGTGATAGTGAAGGCGTGATACTAGGGTATAGGAGAGGTGAATAGCCCAAGACTGAAGTAGAGATACCACAACTGTTTAGCGCACATTTGGTCAAAGTATCGGCTTCACTTGTCTGTTTGATGAGTTATGGTGTGGTGCTAAGTACGGCAAGACTCACTGGCGATGCCGGCGAAACATCTGGGAATGTACCACGTTCACAGTCCGACTTTGGAAATGATCATGCACACAATGGACTCCAGAGAAGGTGTGTTCCTCTAAATCTCCTTACCAATATGACCAAGTTGCGAAAACGAGGTCAAACAACTTCTATTTAATTTTATAAAGCTTTGGAATTAATCGTCATTTCGACATGGGCTTTTTTGATTGACATTTTTTTGAGGGTCCTATTTAAGTTAATAACTTATCAATCCTGACACGGTAGTTTCCTGTCTACCTTCTCCTTTATTTCATTTTTCGTCAATCTGGTTCATAAATATTTAGAATACCCTTAAATTCATATTGCTGATAATCGTCCAGGTATCATGTGATATGCCTACTATTCCATGTTGGCATTAACCAAAATATTTGGGAGTGGTGATTCCATACATATATACACCAAATATCTGATCACGGAGCCCTTATTGTCAAGTTTATCGATTGCGTTAGCGACCTTTTCTTGTTCCGCTTCATCTCCAGGATATAGCCTCCAACAGTGTTGAGTCTCTTCTCTCCATAAATGTGCGTATACTTTGATTGTAAATTAAAGCTTGCAAACTATTTTGTTACGTCGAGTCTCATTTCTTAAATATAATTTGGTGAATTTGATAGTATCCAGTACTACTTTGTTTACAATAGATGCATCTCTTCTGTTGGTACACTCCTGCTTGCTTATTGTTGAATGTTAATTTCAATGGTTACTCTACTTTATGCATATTTGACAATCCGTATGCTTACCAAGGTCTTGCTTTCTTTCCTTATAGTTACTCTATTATCAGCTTGTTGGTTTACCCGTTAATACAAATTCATTTTAACTCATCCTTCGCTGAATTGTTACTTTGCTGTTGCTTCTTGTGTTGGCGCCCTATAAGTGTTCTTCCTTTTAGTATAACCTCAATTTTCTACATCTCCTATTGCCATCATTCTACCTTATTCTGCTCTTCGGACTATTTAGTCATTCCCTTTTAATTTTGTCCATAAGTCGGTTTTTTATATCAACATAGATAATATATATAAAATGTATTCATCTTAGGGTGAAAAGGGACTGACAGTTTAATTTTCCCACAATCTAATGAGTAGGCCTTACGTAACCATTGAATTTCGTATCGCCCTGCTTCCATAAAGGTATTATCATTTGGGGTGAACTGCAGTTTTGACCTCACAGGTTTATTAGTACCCCCAACGGGACTCTAACTTGGATCGTTAGAGTGTATAAGATCTACACGTTAATCACTACGCCACTGCCGCGAGGGGCCTTGGGTCTCCGGGCAGATGTACATTTTAAGGAGCTCAGGCTTTTTCTCATATCACATCGTGGCGGGACTTTCGATGAAGCCATGTTATATTTGCCATAGCAATCGATTATACAACTTATTTTTCATTTATAAGTGGGTATTTGCGACTATCAGTAGACCATATATACGAGGTGTATTCACCTAGTTTCGTATAAGATGGTGAAGGACTGATAGTTAGATTTTCTTACAATGATATAAGTAGGCCTTGCAAGGCCTAGGCGAGGTCGAAACTGCCTGAGCTGACCAATATTTCATGTATTGTAGTCACTTCGCCACAAAACTGTCGGAGACACCAGTTCATTCAGCTACTTCTGATTCCAAACAAGTTCTTATGCTGGATGCTCATGTGCGACGACTCTCCTCCCCAATCGGGAATGATGATAGTCACAAAGGCCTCCAGGCGACCGCCTCAGATACGGAAACTGACCACAGTGATAGTAGCACCAGCAATACCAGCAGCAGTAGCATTGGCGATAATGGCACGAGCACAAGCACTGGCGAGACCGGAGATGAGGCCATACCCTGTCCAGGAGGTGCTGGCTCGGCCGCTGCAAGAAACCGTTCTCATATACCAAAGGCTGATTGCCGTCATAGCAAAGCAGCTAATCCCGATCCAGCCGATAATGCCTCAGCGCGCTCCATAGAGCTACATTTTGGGCCTACAATGACAGGTTCCAGACAAGAAAAAGTAATTTTCTCCCTCACTTATTTTCCATTAATATTAGTACGTATTGGGAAATTCGAATATTTAACTCATTTAAGTCTCACAGATAACTAATATTGCATTATACATCACTTCTGATGAAAGAGTCAATTTCATAGTGGAGTAGAGGAGGATTGGCAGTTAGCCAACTTAGATGACGAGGTCATTCGTTCCAAAGCTATACTTAGGGGGAGACTATTCATTAAGAACTTTTTATGTGGGAATAATCCTCACTTTCTACTATCATCACAACAACGGACGGAATATTGGAATAATGGGGAATTTGATCATCACAATCTCCAGGATCAATGAACTCGGAGTTCTGAGGAAAAGAATTGCATCAACAGACTCGGATTTATCTTAGTAACTGACACTCCAGAGAACTCAGAGAAATATTAGGATTACAAAAAGCAGAAGATAACGTAGATATTATTAAAATAAAATCAAGGATGGCAAAGACGATTAAACGCTGATATTCCTGTTATGTTGTGAAAAGAGTCCATAAATGCGACCAATATTTAAACATTGGAAGTGGCTTGACCTCGTTTTTGTAATTTGCTCGTATTGTAAGGGGAACCTATACGGACACATCCTGTCTTGAGCTCTATGCCACAATAAACATGGTTAGTATGAAGGAAGACTCTGGGCAGGGTGCGCCCACTTGGATTTTCCCGACAGAATGACCAAGTTTCGCAAATGAAGTCGAACCGCTTTTATAAAACGCAAAGAAACTACGTAAGATTTACTCACATTTTTATTTCTCATGCTGTATACCATTCGTAGCCTTCATGCTTTTGGATCCCTTACCCGTCATTGCCTCTTAATCAGTTACCTCTTCAACCTCATGATGCATTCTTCCTTATTCTTATTAAATTCATTGTTATCACAGTTCTTAAATTACTTAATTTGCCATCGCTGTTTCCAGGTTCATCAAACTATTTGCTATGAACATAAGAGTTACAAATAGTTATTAATAGGCGCCTACACACTTCAAAATTCATTTCTCAGCCCACTTTTTCTTCTTCTTTCCTCTTTTTTCATGAGTTGGACAATATCTTTTTTCCTATATATGAAGATCAAGATGATATGGTCTTCCGTTTGGTGGCAGTCTCCTTTAACTATATAGTGCTGGCTTGACTTCGTTTTCCCAACTTGGTCGAGGTGACAGGGAAACATTGTGGACCTTGCCTAGTCCTGCGTCCTTTGTCATAGTATTCATGATTTCCAGCATCGGACCACTGACTTAGTACATTCCCAGACGTTTTGCCAGCATCTTCAGTGAGAGGTGCCATCGTTAGCACAGAGTGAAGGCAATCGACCAATTTTATGTTCACTCGTTTTGGGATCCTTTCTCGCTTGACTTTAAATATCACGTAAATGGTGATGGAAATTGAAGACTCATAGACGGCCAGACTGATTTTCATGTTAGCAGGGGCTAATTGACGAGCGGTTTGGAAGAAGTGGCAAAATGAGTCAGAAGCCCTGCAAATTGCCATTTGAAACCGTGGTGAAGGTGGTTAAGTTTCATTAAATCCACTTGTAGCGACGCGCTCCTAGGCGACATCTGAGGAAGCAAAAGCACAGAGTTTTTTGAATTGGTAAATGGACTATATGAAGTGGGTTTGAGAGAAAGAGATGCAGCTTTATGAGGTCTAACAAGGACTAAGAGTGATGCTATAATGGTGAACATAAAATGGGTAATGGGCATTGCCTTCACTTGTCATTTCGATTAGTTTTAACTTTGTTAACGATGGCACCTCACTGACGATGCAGGCGAAATGTCTGGGAATGTACCAAGGCAACGGTTTGATGTTGGAAACTATCATGAATACTATGACAGAGGATACAGGACTTAGTACGTCCCACAAGGTCTCATCACTTAGGTCGAGTTGCAAAAACGAGGTAAAACCAATACCATCTGGATATATGAAGACCAAGATGTTGTGGCCTCTGGTATGGTCGCAGTCTCCTTTCAATTTATAGAAATGGGTTGACCTCGTTGTCGCAACTTGGTCTTGTTTTCAGGGTGACTTAGTACAACGCACCTAGTGCGAAGTCGTCTGTCATAGTATTTGTCATCATTCCCAGCATCAGACAGTAGACTTGGTATATTCTCAACCTTTTCGCCGGCTGAGACAAGTCTCTGATGAGTTCGTAGCTTGGTGCGGAGAAGGGCAAAGCTCTGATGATGCCGACTACGATGCCAGGGAAACGTTTGAGAATGTACCAAGTCCACTGTCTGCTGGGAATCATGACAACTACTATGACAGACGACTTCGGACTAGGTGCGTTCTATTAAGTCACCCTGACAACAAGGCCAAGTTGCGACAACGAGGTCAACTCACTATCTGGATAGTTAAAAGCCAAGTCAATAGGATGAAATTACTTAGGCAAATATTATGGGATATTTATATATTAATTGTGTTCACCCTATTTCGTTTAAGGAAACTAGTAGTTGAATTCTTTACAGCGATACGAGTAGACCTGACGCTTCCATATTATTTTACATAGCATTTCTTTCTCAGAAGGTATTTGCATGACCCTTTTGGATCGACCTCTATCCCAAATCTTATCTTTTAACTAGTTGAGACCATTTATACCTATTCGCCACAATACAGCACTAAAATATCTTTTGAGACCACATTTTCCTTATTATTCTGTTGTTTTCTAAACTTTACCTCTTCAAAAAGCCTGACTTCCTCTCTTTTCTCGTGAGCCAGCCAGTTATCGTCGATCCTTCTTTGTCAGGGAAGACCGTCGTCTATACGATTGGCAGCGAGCATTCAGCCGTCTTGAATTCCAACCGCGATGGCCATTCAGTCCGACACAGTGGCTGTGGTAAGGCCAGCAAAAACCACACATCTGGTCGCTCGCTAGAATATGGCTTTAACAGTAAATCTAGTAAGTCTGCCACTAAACGTACTGTAGATTTTAGACTATAATATCTATCCTCATCTTAACCGTTGCTTTTGCTTCTACTAATTAAGATGGCACTTGTCAACAAGCTATCGTCACCTCAAGTCCCTCGGCCCTACCTGACCATATGCATCTACCTCAAGTCGGCCGAAGTCCTTCGCCTTCGAACTCTATACCTGTCTTCCCCAGACAAATCTCGCCCTCGATTTATCGTCATTTGCCCCGTAAAGATGCTGAGACCAGTCTTAAAAAAACTGGAAGGACAGCTAACGAACTGGCTAAAATGGATTCTTCCGCTGGCCTAGCAACCGGCGAAGCCAGTGAGTTCGAGCGTTTTGCTATCCGCAAGCGAGAGCGCCGCCAACGTAGGCGGCTAGCCAAACAGCGGCGACGACGTGGTATTGCCGAACCAGTCCCATACAAAGCAGCCGTCAACTCAGTTTCGAATCATGCTACTAATGCTACTGATCCCTCCACCGCTGCCTTTAATGCGCCTTCTCCTGTAGTCACTACAGTTCCTCCTGCTACGGTAGTCGCTTCTTCTACTACTGTTGCAGTTGCTACGGCAGCTACAGCGGAAGCGGAGGCTAATCGTGAGTAATATCATTTTTAGCATTTATGCGAGGATCTGTTTAATCATCTTTAACAGTTATGAATAATTTGCTAAACCGTTACATACTCTGAACTTTGCTCGATACCTTTTAATTTATGAATATAACTTATTTCGGTAAGAAGCTTTTATCAAATTAGGTGCCCGGGTGGTATTGCTTGCCGAAATTAGGCGCCTGACACCTCTTGCTTGTCGTTCAATTCAGTGATTAGTCCGCCATGTCTCAGATTTGCATAAGGCTTAGTGAATCGGCTTGAATAATCCGAGAGGCATCAGGATCAACATTCTGTCAGAAATCTGCGTAAGATATGGAATCTTTCTTTGGTTGTCTCCCCTTTATTAGAGTTCTTATCTGCCAGTGTTTGAAGTAAATTTCTTTGCACAGAGAATATTCTGGAAACGCTTTTTCATGGAGGCTAAACTGTAGCTTCCACCTCACATAGGTCTGAGGCACCCCTGACGAGATTATAAACTGAGTTTAACGTCAGCCCATAACTTTACCACATCACCACATAGACACAAGTGTCGGTAGCTCTTAGGGCAGATGCGACTTTATAGTTAATTGTTTTCGACACAGCAAGCTTATATTTACGATTAAATTCAGCTATGTTAATATATTATACTTAAGCAAATGCCCAAATGATTATCAGATAATGATTAAGACTTTAACGGGAGACCTACTTTTGTACACAGAGATATGGTCGATTATAAGAGCCTTATCCACAATAGTCCCGGTGTAATTTTAATTTGGTAGGGGCCTGGCTTTCCTAAAAAGTCACATATGCCATGAGACTCACTGAAACTCGTCTC